CAAAGCAATAGCACTTGGGATTTATATACTGCTGGGATTATATACTGTCCTCTCTAAGCGGTTTATAGAGTCGGCCTCTTGCCCCCCAACAATCTGGGCTCTCATTTTATTGATCTTGGAAGGATGGAAGGCTGAGTCAATCTTGAGCCGGTCAGGATTGAACTCCTGGCAGTGGGCAGAGTCAGCCTGCAATACTGCCTTCTAACCACTGGGAGAGAAGGAAGGAAGGAACACAAGAGAAAAAAGAAGAGCAAAGCTCTAGCCATAGCACTTATTATTAAACTTATATGCCGCTTCACGGGGCTTTCCAGCCCTCTCCATGCAGTTTACAGAGTCAGCCTCTTGCCCCCAGGCAATCTGGTTCTTCCCATTTTACCGACCTCAGAAGGACGGAAGGCTGAGTCAACCTTGAGCCGGTCAGGATCGAACCCCTGGCAGTCGGCAGAGTTAGCTTGCGGTACAGGTATAACGCCCCACTTGCGACCACAGTCCCTGCCCCACTGCCTTCCCCCAGACCTTCTGGGTCTCCAGCCGGCCTTGAATCTCCCACTTTTCTTCCTGGATCTCCTTCAGCCTCTCCCTCATCCGCTGGTTGTCATCTTCCTCTTCGGCCACGGTGGACTTCAGCTGCTCGCATTCCTGGTCCAGGCTGTCCAGCTGCTGCATCAGGTTCTGTTGCTTGGCCTGGAGGGACTGCAGGGAGAGATGGAAGGGTCGTAGGATGGCGCCGAAATGCCAGTAAAAGTTTTAAAAATAAATAAATAAATAAATAAATAAATAAATAAATAAATAATAATGCCCATCTTCAATTGGTCAGCTAAGGGTTCCTGGCTGACTGTGAGCTTCCAAGAAAGCACAACAGCGCGGATTATATTCACACCACATTGGAAAAAATGAAAGAAAGGAAGAAGGAAAGGAAGGAAGGAAGGACAGAAGGAAAGGAAAGGAAAGAAAGGAAGAAAGAAGGAAGGAAAGGAAGGAAGGAAAGAAGGAAAGGAAGAAAGAAAGGAAGGAAAGAAGGAAAGGAAGAAAGAAAAAGGAAAGAAGGAAAGAAAGGAAGGAAAGGAAAGGAAGAAAGGAAGGAAAAAGAAAGAAAGAAAGAAAAAGAAAGAAAGAAAGAAGGAAGGAAGGAAGGAAGGAAAAGGAAAGAAAGGAAGAAAGAAGGAAAGGAAGAAAGAAAGAAACAAAGAAAGAAAAGAAAGGAAGCGGGAAAGGGAAGGAAGGAAAGAAAAGAAAGAAACAGAAAGAAACAAAGAAAGAAAGAAAAGAAAAAAGAAAGGAAGCGGGAAAGGGAAGGAAGGAAAGAAAAGAAAGAAAGAAAGGAAGAAAGAAAGAAAGAAAGAAAGAAAGAAAGAAAAGAAAGAAAGAAAGAAAGAAAGAAAGAAAGAAAGAAAGAAAGAAAGAAAAAGGAAAGAAAGAAAAAGGAAAGAAAGAAAGCTTCAAGAGCTTTTCACAGGGTTAAGCCTCCCGCAAGCTCTCTGGACACATCCCCTGTTTTTCCTGGCCTGAAGACAGAAGAGGCTCCTCCTTCTATCTCCCACTTCCCAGTCCAACTTACAAGTTCCCGGGGGGAAAGGCAGCGGGGAGGCCCCTCTCACCTCCTGGTGCTGGAGCATGCTGTCCCCTCTGGCCCTCTCTTTGTTGAGCTCCAGGGTGGTCCAGTTCAGCTGCTGCTCCACTCTCTCCAGCTGGCCGCTCAGGGCCTTCAGCTGCTCCTCCCGTCGGTCTACTTCGCTCTTATCCACCATCTTGGACTCCATCTCCTGCTGCAGGTCCTTCCGGGCCTGTTCTGTGGAAAGCACAGCCGTTTGGGAGACTGGGGTGGAAAACAGCTGAGGAGCTGGGTGACTCCCGAGGCCTTTCCTTACCTACACTTTAGCCTCAGAAGAGACCTTGTAGGTCATCTAGGCCACCACCCCCCGACCAAAACAAGGCATTCCTTAGATGCCTAGATATTCACCCCGGCAGCCCAAAGTTGTTGGAGCGTAAGATGGTTATTGGAGAGCATGATGGATGACTCTTGGAGATGGATGCATCCCATTGGAGAAGTCACATCCAGGGGGTGGAGGAAAGACCAGGGTCAAGGGGGAAATGTATGATGTGATTTAGTATCGGCTACACCCAGCCACGTGCCGACATGGCCACTCCTAATAAATCAATGTACTTTTCTCTGAGATGCGGCTAGAGACTTTTGATTTGAATGAGGGTGGATTTGTTGGAGCCCTGACACACGTCACAACTGCCTCCTTAGCCACAGAAATTTTGGGCTCACTTGTCGTTGTAAGCCGAGGATTACCTGTAAGTAATTATAGCAGTTACAGGACCAAGAGATTGAGATACACCTAGGTTAGTCCTGGCTGAACGACTGCCCTGCGTAGTGTATGCTCAAAATTACAACGTTTTTTTTTAAAAAAACAACAACAGAGTAATTTTTCCAACTAGAAACACCCCTCTAAATTCAGGGTGCGGTTTGCTCTTACCCAATTCCTGGATGGTGCTTTCCTGTACCTTCAGCTTTTCTTTCAGGGTGGAGAGACTCATCTCCAGGGAAACGGCTCCTGGAAGAAGCCACACAAAAGACTCTTTGGCCTTCCCAAGCGATTCGGTCGCTTGCATCCTTACGATTTATATGGACCGTTTCCTAGTAGGATTCGGTTGCTTATTTGTACCCTGTGACTATCATTAAGTGTTGTACCTTATGATTCTTGACTCTTGACGAATGTGTCTTTTCTTTTATGTACACTGAGAGCATTTGCACCAAGACAAATTCCTTGGGTGTCCAATCAACACTTGGCCAATAAAGAATCCTATTCTATTCTATTCAATTCAATTCTATTCTATATTTCTATTCTACACTATACTATACTATTCTAATTTTTTTTGTACCCTATGACTATTATTAAGTGTTGTACCTCATGATTCTTAACTCTTGAATGTATTTTTATTTACGTACACTGAGAGTTTATGTACCAAAGACAAATTCCTTGTGTGTCCAATCACACTTGGCCAATAAAGAATTCTGTTCTGTTCTATTCTATTTTCTATTCTATTCTATATTCTATTCTATTCTCTGTTCTATTCTCTATTGTATTCTCTCCTTTTTTCTCTTATCTATTCTCTTCTCTTCTATATTCTCTCTAGTCTCTTCTCTCTTCTATTTTCTATTCTATTTCTATTCTCTATCTTCTCTTCTCCTTTTCTCCTCTTCTCTATTCTATTCTCTCTTCTCTATTCTGTATTCTCTATTCTCCATTCTTTATCCTCTATTCTATTTTATATTGACTGTTTCCTAGTACAATTTGATTGCTTACTGTATCCTATGACTATCATTAAGTGAGTGTTGTACCTCACGATGCTTGAAGAAGGTATCTTTTCTTGTACGGACGCTGAGAGCATCTGCACCAAAGGAAATCCCTTGTGTGTGTCAATCACACTTGGCCAATAAAGTCATCTGTTCTATTCTCCTCCCTCTGGAAGAAGGGACAGCTGATTCCGTGAGAATCAGAACCGCTGGCCTTCCCAGCCTTCCCAACCCACGCGCCCGAAGCTGGCATCAGCGGGGCTTAAAGAAGAAGACGAGAGAGATACTCACGGTCTCCGAGGTCCTCCTTGGCCTTCTGCAGCTTGGCCGTCAGTTGCTGGCTTTCCCTCTCCTTCTTTTGTAAGAGCTGCTCCGTCTCCTCCCTCTGTTGCCTCTTGGCCTCCTTCTCCTTCTGCAGACAACCGTCCAGGTTCTCCAGCTGCTTCTTCAGCTCGTTCTTCTGCTTCTCAAACTCCTCCAGTTCTCCCTTCAAAGGGTTGATGAGTCCCATCAACATCTGGATGTGCTTGTTGATGCGGGAAAGGTCCTTGCTCTGCTCGGTGGCCCAGTAGCCGACATCCACGGCCGTCAGCAGCTTGCCCCCGAGTCTTTCCTCCACCATCTTCAGGAACTTGCCCAGGGAAGATGAAATGTTCAAGGTGCCGCAGAGGTCGATGATTGCCTTGCCCACTTCCTGCAGGCTAACCTGGGTGCTTTCGCAGGCATCGCAGGGCACCAGGGAGCTTTCAATGGTCTGGGAGTGGACACTCCGGCCAGGCAGGCTAACCAAAGGATCTAAGCGGGCACTGAAGTCATTGTCCAGCAGCCGGCTGCCGGCGGAAGAGGTTAACGGAGAAGACTGAAAGGTGGGCAAAGTCACATCCGACTCGGGAGAAACGCTTTTCGAATGCTCGTTCTCGGCTTTCGTGGCCCGGAAGGAAATTTTTAGATTAGAAGCATCTTTGGTATATTTTTTCTAGGCCCAAAAGGAGAGGAAAAAAAAAACCAACAACATTATTTCACGTTGGGGTGCAGGAAAGTATATAAATAATAAAAAATCACCCTCCAGCACGACACGAAGTTTGACACACATCGCTTGGCCTAAAAATCACTCCGAATGCAATTTGGGGAGCGGGCAATGGGAAAGAACAAAGGGAAAAAAAAAAAGAGTTGTGGTGACATGATGGACATGAAACGACTTCGGAATATTTGACCAGATTATTAGAGAAAGAAAAAATTTTGCTGCTCTGCCAGCGCTTGAAACTGTCAAGCAGCAAACGTCAACAATCCACCTCACAACTGACTCGTGCCTGTTATAACTCCAAATTAGGTGGCTCAAGACAGGCCAGGCAATATAAAAACAAAACAGCAGGAAAAAGGAACCAGCCCTCCAGCTGTCATCCTCAAAGGAAACTTGAGTTTCCCAAAGAAACACATGCATACATACATGTATGTATATGTATACATACATATATTTACATATACACACATGTTGTGGCTCCGATTCCCGAGTCTGTGCTGTTAGAGGAAGAGGACTCGGAAGATGAGGAGGAGGAACTGGGAATGCCTTCCTCCCCAGGACCTTCCTCTCTGGCAATGCCTTCCTCCCTGATAATGCCTCAGGTTTCATCAGACAGCCGAGAGGAAGAGCCTGAGATTAATCGGGAGGAAGGCATATCGGAGCAGCCCCTGACAGGGAGTCAAGAGGACGAATGTTGGCTTGATCCTAAGCAGCGTCGTAGGGAGAAACGTGAGCCGCATCGTAGGAGGCGTGGGAGGGTCAGAGAATGACCTGAGCCATTGAGCCACACCCCACAGGGGATAAAAGTGGGTGTGTTGTCGGCTGGAACTTTGTACGGGACAAAGTTTGATCTTACTTCAGGTTTTCTTTGTGGTCTGCCTTGTAATTTTCTGTAAGTAGCTTTTGACTTGTTATCAGTTCGGACTTGGCAGGCAGAGCGTGTTGGAATGCCAAGGACGTTATCAGTTCCAAAGAATTAACTCTGTGAAGTCCGAGCCAGCCAGCCTGCCTGCCTGTGTTTGTGTGAGTTTGTACTCTTTCATCTTTTGGGAAAGAGGAAAGGTGAGACAGCACACACACACACATATACATATATACACGTACACACACACATACATACATGCATATACATACACATATATACACACACATACAAACGCATATATATAAACACACGCATACACACACATATACATAAACACACACATACATATCTGCATATATACATACACACACTCAGACACGCGCACACCCCTTTGGCTGCACGGGAAGCAATGGACATTTGCCTACCTCGGCCACCAGCTGTTGGTAAAGGGCACCCAGCTTCAGCATGCTGTTCCAGTACTTCCTTACGGTCAGCCCGATAGACATGGAGGGCCCTATCGCCCGGGAGGAGGGCACAGCTTCTTCGCTGATGAGGCTCTCGGTGTATCCCGTGACACTCTGGAGCAGCAACAGAAGCCTTGGGGAGCCAAAAGGAAATCTTGTTTTCATTTCGTGGCAACTCCAGGCCCCACTGCTCCTTCCTTAAGGAAGCCCAACACATTGCAGGACAAATAATATTAAAAGAAAAACAAAACCCACACACAGAAAATTAAATGTAATCGGCAATGCAGGGGGAGTAACGGCTCAATGGATCACTCCTGTATTGCAGGTGAATGTATTTTTTCTTTTATGTACACTGAGAGCATTTGCACCAAGACAAATTCCTTGTGTGTCCAATCACCCTTGGCCAATAAAGAATTCTATTCTATTCTATTCTATTCTATTCTATTCTATTCTATTCTATTCTATTCTCATTCTACTATTCTACCACTATAAGCCTGATTTATGTACATATGCTCTCAGTGTACTTACGTATACTGAGAGCCTTTGCACCAAGACAAATTCCTCGTGTGTCCAATCACACTTGGCGAATAAAGAATTCTATTCTATTCTAGTCGCAGGAGCTTTAGATGCAACCTTACCTGTCGATCACTAGTTCCAGAAGAACCACGTGTGAATGCTGCGTAAATTCAGGGTCGTTCTCCACAAAGTCATATTGTCCCATCAAAGCCACCAAGTCCAAGTCGCAGGAGACTTTATCTGGAAATTTCCAGGAAGGAAAGCGCACCGCTCCAGCGTGGGAGAACACGCTAATGACAGTCCCTTGGAGGTCCGTGATGTCCTTCCGCAAGCTTTCCATGTAGTTTTGGTTCACCAACAAACTCACCATGATGTCTCCCCTCCCCCAGATGTCATCTGAACCGTAAGAAAAAAGCGCTTTTCAGTCTTCAGACAGATGTTCCTGGAGGGAAGCAATTCAGGTAAAGTGCTGGCATGAAAAATGGCTTACCTGAAAGCACAGGAAAAGCCACTGAAAGGGGAAGTTGAGGGAAGAATAAAGCATCTGTATTCTGTATGCATTCAATAAATAGGCCCGTTGCAAAAGGCAGCTGACATCCTGCAAACGTTTAACCCCAACAAACCCACATCTGGTCTTTGGGAAGGACTTGGTAGGTGGACCGAAATGCCAAATTCAATTGGGCGACTGGGCAACCCACCACAATAAAAGTATTACAAACTAAGTTTATTATATTAGGTTCTGTAGCTCAATAACAACTACGGTTCCTACCGCCCCACTCAATAGGGCTAAGCTTGGAAATGGGGCAGCATACAAATAAATATAAATATATTTTAAAAGTTGTTGTCTCAGAAGAGTGGCGAGTGCATTAGCTATCCTAACTCGGGTTCTTTTTTTTACATTTTTGATCTACTTTTATTGCTTTATAGGTAATCTCAAGGTGGACAGCGTACATGAGACCCCCTCCTCCTGCTTTCCACATAACAACAACCCTTCAAGGTGGGCTAGGGCTGAGAGAGGGAATTGGACCCCAAGTCACCCGGCTGGCATTCATGCCTAAAAGGCAGGACTAGAACTCCCAGTCTCCCGCTTTTTAGTTGGTGCCTTAACCACTAGGCCAAACTGTCGCCCCTATGTTTGTGTGCTGAGCTAGAGAGCAAAAGGCGCTCTGCCCATGCCCAGAGGCACTCTTCCCCAATGCTACAGAACACTCCTCCCACCCAGAGCAGCCGAGACTTATGGGCTCCCCGCCTCACAGAGACCCCCTCCCGATTAAAGGCTGGGGAGGGGGTCACGGGGCGGTGGGGGGGAGGAGGAAAGACCCACTTGCCGAATAGCAGCCCCAGCCGCCGGCTCTCGCCAGGCGCCGCGCAGGCTTCCGCTGCCATGGCAACCGCGGGAAGCCTTTTCCCCCCCCGGCGCACGCGCGGGCCCAGGCACCGCCCCTTTGGAACGTTGGCTCTAAGCCCCGCCCCGCCCGTCTGCAGGACGGAAGGGAGAATCCCGAGTGACGTAGCAAGCGCTGGAAAGTTATGCAACGAACCCCCCCCCCCCCCCACCTCCAAGCCTGGGAAGCTGATGCTCCCCTGAGCTTTTTGTCCAGCCTTAGCCAGTTGGATGACTTGAGACAATCACTTTTTCTCATCTGTCCTTTAATAAAACTTTAATAATGGCCCAGACAGTATTTGCCCCCACTCAAAAAGGGGGGCGCTCTATCCATATAGCACCTCTATGATGCTCGACGTGTCCAGAAAGTGTGCGCAGGTGCCGTTTCTCCCTAGGCTCCGCCCACTTCGAAAAAGCGGGGCGGCTCCCTTGTGCGCGCGCATTCTGGCTTGTGGATGCCATTTTAGTGTCGAGGTTTAACAGTCCCGTTTTTCGCGGAGCTTCGGTCCCGCCGAAGAGAAGCAGCGCCATGCCGGCCGGACCGGTGCAGGCGATGGCGCCCGCCCAGCCAGCTCCTCCGGAGCCCAAGCAGGTACTTCGCGGCTTTCGCCTTCGGGAATGGGGACACCCGCGCCTGGGGCCTTCTCAGAGGCGGAGGTGCGCGAGAGGCTTTTTCCCAGTGTGCTTAGCGAGAGGCGCGGGGTGTGCTGGGAATTGTAGTGGGGAAAGGTGAAGGCAGGTGCTGCAAATCCCATGGTCCCCAGCCAGTTTGGCTAGGAAATCGAGCCAAGGGACGAGGGGTGCGTAGCAGGTTAATAAAGGGCAGGAAACCTAACCAGGATATCTGGAAAAAAAGATTAAATCACAAATATTTTAAAATTTCAAATCATCAAAACTATTCTTAAATTTTAAATTGAAAATATTTTAAATTTTCAAACCATCAAAAATATTAAAAAAAAATAATTGAAAATTTTTAAATTTCAAATTGAAAATATTTTAAAATTTCAAATCGAAAATATTTTGAAAATTTCAAATCAAAAATATATTACAATTTTAAATCAAAAATATTTTACAATTTCAAATCAAAAGTTTTAAAATTTCAAATCAAAAATATTTTAAAAATTTCAAATCAAAGATCATTGTTAAATTTTAAATCAAAAATATTTTTTAATGTTTTTTAACTCCCCTGGTTCAGCAAATCAACATTTGATCTGGACGTACAAAATTGTTGCGGAACAGCTCTTTCTGATTCTGAAAGTCTAAATTATGCTTTCTCATCTCTCCATGCAGCCAGAAGATGAACCAAAGGAAGAAACCACGCCTGCCAAACCAGTTGTGGGAATTATATATCCGCCACCGGAGGTTAGGAATATTGTGGACAAGACAGCCAGCTTTGTGGCTAGGTGAGAAGGCCTCCGACGAAATAAATTCCGTTTGCAAGCAGACTTTGGGCAGCCTCTGTTCGATTGAACTGGGCTTATTATTATTGATTAGGTTTGTACGTTGCCCAACTCCCAACAGTCCTGGGTAGCTCAGGATAAAAACAAAGGAAGAATAACAATAAGTAAACGATGACAAGAATCAGATAGGAACCAATGCAAAGCAAGCCTACGCTTGCCCAAGACTTGGAAGAGCCAAGTCTTCAGGGACCTACGAAACACCAGAGAGATGGAGGCCATCCAGATTTCACGTGTCAGGAACTCCCTGGTGGTACAAGTTGCTCTTTTGATTGTGATGCCTGAAATAATTTCTGATTTTGAACTCGGGCTGCCCTCCCTTGTGGTAAGAATGTCTGAATAGACAACAGGAAACATCCTGATGCTATTCTGACTATTCTGGAAGTGTCTGGAAACATCTTGGATGCCAAATAAGCAGCAAACGTGGGTCCTTTCAGGCTCAGAATAGTTCAGCGGTGACTTTGTGCTTGCAATATTTTGAATTTGACATGTCTTGCTTTGAGAGAGATGGTGGGGTTTGGTCACCGTGGGCGGCGGCATCTGGCCGACCTCCCAGGAACCCAGAGGGGGCTGGACCCCAAAGGAGGTTTCAAGAAGAGATTGGGCTGCCGTTTGTCAGAAATGGTGTAGGGTCTTCTGCTTAGGCAGGGCAGGGGGATTGGACTAGATGACCTACAAGGTCCCTTCCAACTCTGTGAATCTATATCTGGGTGTCTGTTCTTCGCTTTGGTTCTGACGTCTCCTCTACGATTTCCCAGAAACGGCCCGGAGTTTGAAGCTCGGATCCGCCAGAACGAAATAAACAATCCCAAATTCAACTTCCTGAACCCCAATGACCCTTATCATGCCTACTACCGCCACAAGGTCAACGAGTTCAAGGAAGGAAAGGCGCAGGAGCCCTCCGCGGCCATTCCGAAGGTTATGCAGGCCCAGCAGAGCGCCCAGCAGCAGCTCCCCCAAAAGGTAAAACAAAATAAAAATAAATAGCTCCTCTCTGGGCTTCCTCATCTCTCTGTGCAGCTCCTTTGTGATTCGACGCATAATAAGCCCAGATATTAAAAAAAAAAAAAAAGCTGATAGCTTCTCTTGACTTTCTCATCTCCTGGGAAGGTATTGCTAAAAAAAATAAATGGATGAATGCCCTTCGTCCAGCAAGTTTCTCAGCATCCTGCAGAGAGGACGTGCTGCATATCCTGTCGGTGAAGAAATTCCAACTGGTGGGGATCTTGGCCATCTTAGGTCGGAGCCCTAAGAGTAGGATACGGTTTTAGGGATGGCCGATGGCTTGAGATTACTGCCTTGTCACCTTTTTAGCCTTTTGGGCTTTGAATTCCACTTTTACTTCGCAAGTTTTAACTTTATCGTTAACCCCACCGTCATCGGTTTTGAATGTTTTATTGCATCGCTTGAAAACCACTGTGTCGCTTCTACAGTGTAGAAATGCAATCTATCTATCTATCTATCTATCTATCTATCTATCTATAAAAGTGAAAAACCACTCAACGCATCATCACAAAATCTCCAGAACCGTAAAGTCTACAAAACTTGAAATTTGGCACCTATATTCCTTTTGGCTTCTAGGGACTCACTAAGAAAGGATTTTTCGAAATGACCATCAGAGCATTTAGTATTTCCTATATTATTAACATGCTCTGACGCTAAGAAGTTCTACTCCCCCTCCCCACCTGAAAAGAAATCTCTTCCAAAGGCAAAACACAAGTAGAGGAGAGGAGTTTCACTTTCAGTTTCACAGCACCAAACAGCTTTAGTACAGAACAGTTAATCTAAGCCACGCCCAGGCTCCTTGCTGTCTCCTTGCTTGCACAGCAAATACTGCTTCAGTTTCCATGTTTCAGTTTCCAAACAGCCCTCAACTTTCACACACTGACAGGACGCTAGCCAGATAAATACCGATGGATGCTGGTAGGCAGAGGCAGAATTTCCCCCCCTTATTTTCCTCCTCAAAAACTAAGCCCGACCACATAGTTTCGTAGCGAAGCACAGGTACCCAGCTACTAATTAAATAAAATCGGTGGAGTGGAGAGAGAATCAGGAGTTCTGTGTCTCTCCTCTGCAGGTCCAGGCCCAGGTGATTCAGGAAACCGTGGTTCCGAAGGAGCCTCCACCAGAATTTGAGTTCATTGCGGACCCTCCATCAATCTCGGCTTTTGACCTGGATGTGGTGAAATTGACGGCCCAGTTCGTGGCTCGCAACGGCCGGCAGTTCCTGACTCAGCTGATGCAGAAGGAACAGAGGAACTATCAGTTCGACTTCCTGCGGCCTCAGCACAGCCTCTTCAACTACTTCACCAAACTGGTGGAACAGTACACCAAGGTGAAGAGGCTCAAGAGGAGGTTTTGCAAAGGTTTTCGTGTAAAAAAAAAAAAAAAGGTACTGTAGGAATAGAATTGATTTCATGAGAAATGTTAAATCTGATGCATTCTTACAGATCTTGATCCCACCAAAGGGCCTCATTATAAAATTGAAGAAGGAAGCTGAAAATCCCAAAGAAGTCTTAGATCAGGTAACTAAGGAATGTTTTCTGGGGGTTTAATTTGCTTCCAATATTTAGATCCTTAAAATCTTATCCCAGATAAGGACTTTAATCCAATTTCAATCAGGCTGGGTACTGTTTTGCTAGTTGGGTGCAACATTCACTTTGGTTTTTGTTGGGAAGTAAATCTGGATTTTGGTACAAAATGGGGTTTTTGTTTCATTTTCTGATAGTTCTTTGGGACACTTGGAGTTTCTTTCTTTTTACCGAAGGCTTATTATGCCTATTTAAAATCTGCCCTGCTGTTTCCATTATTTCTTGTCTCAAAATGCCGGCAAATTGAAACACTTTTTAAATTTTCAATCATTTTGATCCAGAGAGGGTTTGGGGGCGGGTGGCAAAAACGCTCCGGCTGCCTCATGCTGACTTAGAAATATAATTCGATCTCTTCCAAAAGTCTCCCCAAATTTAACGAGCAGGGGAACTTTCCCAGATCCTGTAAAAGAAAGTTGGTTTTTCTGTGGCCTCCTAAGGACTCTTCCTTTCCCTTGGTGGTTGCCATCGACAGGCGTGCTACAGAGTCGAGTGGGCCAAATTCCAGGAGCGTGAGCGGAAGAAGGAAGAGGAGGAGAAGGAGCGCGAGCGAGTGGCTTATGCCCAGATCGACTGGCACGATTTTGTGGTGGTGGAAACGGTGGATTTCCAGCCCTCGGAACAAGGTTCATTCCCTCGTGGATTTTAAAAGCGCCCTCTTTTTTTTCCCCCTTCAATCCCAACCAGCTTTTGAACGGGGAAGGGCATCGTAAAATAAATTTGGTTAACAAGATCATAGTTCCCTGACGGCAAACCTGTGGTACGTGTGCCACAGGTGGCGCGTAGAGCCATTTGTGCGGTCACGTGAGCCCCAGTCAGACTTACCTGCATTGCACATGCGCACCTCCCAGCTGATTTTCAGCCTGTTTGAGGCCTTTTTCACCCTCCTGGAAGCTCGAGGGAAGCCTCTGCAGCCATTGGAGGCCGAAAAACAGGCCTTCCGGAAATACTAGAA